CTTGGTGTTGAGGGAATACCTCCTTTTATAGGCTATGGTTGTCCATTTAAGACTAGTTTCCCTTTCTTAAATAGAGTTAGACTTTTCCTATTGAGTTTTTATTCTTGTTTCCTTATAGAATTCATATCTTCTGGGATTTGGACCATCTTTGGTGCAATTTGGTAGCTTCCCAAAATCTCAAAATGGTGGATATCACAGAAGATTCTCAAAATATTCCTTAAAGCAGTTAACTCTTCTGCTCTGCCGAGCAATTATAGTTGACTTTGGATGCCGAAATCGTTCTGGGTTGGTCCTGGATTTAGGTCATCTTCTAGCTTTTTTGAACTAATGTATCCTTTTGAGGGGTTGCCTTGACTGATGGTCTTCAAGTCTAGTCGACTCGAGTTAATAGGTGTGTGGATTTAATGATCTTATTATAGTAACTACTATGTAATTTTGTTATTTCTAAAATAATACAAAAGAATCCTTACATTTCAATTTCAGTTCGCTTTTATAAACATAGCATTGCAACTTTTACAAAGAATACAATAATAATTACAACGTACTAAAGAGTCACTGATTAATTTGACATATAGAGATATATACATAATTTTTCTCCCACATGACACTTGTTTCACGACTTGGAAATTCACTCGAGAAAGTGATCACCGACTTGGTTCAACGTCTAACTTGTTATGCGGTTCTTTAGTGTTGCAGGGAAGTGAGCACTTACCAATAATTTCCGCGCAAGACATGAATCACATGGGAAGTATTCACGTTTCTAGTCTATGGTTCTAAAAATATTTCCATGATGGTAAAAAATCATCAGTGCAAATTATGATATAGGGTTGAGTCCACAAATTTCAATATGTTTTGGCAGTAATCATATAATTCTACTAGGAATTAGTCTATATAATTAAATTCCTTTCTAAGATAACTCCTCACAATCGGGAACTAATTCACATTGATCACAAGTACAAACAGTATTAAAAGAAAAGGGGGTACAAACAACACAGTAAATGCAGTTTTTGTTTTTTACAAACTTCTTTCTTAATATTTTTTCCCATGTACATACAAAGACGTATTTCGAGAAAAATAAGATAATAATAAAATGGGTGTATATAATAAAATAATAAGAGGTACCGTGGTTGGCTGACGGATATCAATATGAATATATTAATATTAATAATAATAGACTTTTTCCGGTACGCCAACATATCAGTACGCCAGGTTTTATGTCCATCAGATATGCTAAGTCACGTAAGAGTAAAAAAGTACGAAGATCCAATAGTTAGAAAACCTTGACCTACCGGTATGCCAGGCGTATAAGAGAATCTCTCTAATAATTAAAACGTAAAAAGACATACGTTTGCATACGCTTGGCATGCATGGAAAACAATCTGTAAAATAATATGGGAGATTCTCTTGTACGCCTGGTATATTGGTAGGTCAGATTTTTTTAACCGTTGGATCTACGTGTTTTTTGATTTTTACGTGATTTTATGCAGATCTAAAGGACATAAAACTTGATTTTAAGGGATATAAAACTTGATTTACCGGTATGTTGACCGGAGAAATGTTCTAAATAATATTGAGGTTAATTTAATGTCCTATTTTAGTGCCCAAACTATAATCCAATTTTTTAAGTTATTGATCACTTTTAAAGTGTTTCAAAACGAGTATTCAAACGTCCTACTAATTAATTGTCCTAAATTAGTCTTTTATTCATCCGGTCATTAAAATCTTGATTAAAAAAAAAAACATTGTGGGGTGGGGGGGGCAAGTCTAATCGATGGAATACTAATTATCTGAAATAATTAAATAAGTTATTAACCTAACAAATAGTCACATTTCATGTTTTCCATTAATTACAGTAACATTTGAAAGTACTATGCGGTTCATTAATTGTCACTACACTAAACAGGAGATAAGACAACGGTTATAAACCGTCATCTTATCTACCGGCATGGTTGTGAGGTAACAACGGCCGAAGATGTACCGGCATGGTGGCGCTTGTGAGGGTCATAAAGGCGGCGGGTTGAGGGAGTGAAGGATGTACATTAGAGGGAGTGAGGAGCGTAGAAGAGAACAGAAGAGATCTCCGTAAGAAAAGCTTTTAGGTGTTGAGAGGGAGGGAGGGAGAGAGAGTGAAGGATGTACATTAGAGGGAGTGAGGAGCGTAGAAGAGAAGAAAAAAGATCTTCGTAAGAAAAGCAAGCTTTTAGGAGGGAGGGAGGGAGGGGTTGAGGGAGTGAAGGATGTACATTAGAGGGAGTGAGGAGCGTAAAAGAGAACAGAAGAGATCTCCGTAAGAAAAGCTTTTAGGTGTTGAGAGGGAGGGAGGGAGAGAGAGTGAATGATGTACATTAGAGGGAATGAGGAGCGTAGAAGATAACAAAAGAGATCTGAGAGAGAGAGAGAGAGAGAGAGAGAGAGAGAGAGAGAGAGAGAGAGAGAGAGAGAGAGAGAGAGAGAGAGAGAGAGAGAAAAAAAAAAAAGTTGTAGAAGTGATTATAAAGTAAAAACTTAGTCTTTATATTAGAAAGAGAGATGGAAGAGAGTGCTTGAAGTTGTAGAAGTGATTATAAAGTAAAAACTTAGTCTTTATATTAGAAAGAGAGATGGAAGAGAGTGCTTGAAGTTGTAGAAGTGATTATAAAGTAAAAACTTAGTCTTTATATTAGAAAGAGAGATGGAAGAGAGTGCTTGAAGTTGTAGAAGTGATTATAAAGTAAAAACTTAGTCTTTATATTAGAAAGAGAGATGGAAGAGAGTGCTTGAAGTTGTAGAAGTGATAATAAAGTTTTAAAAATTTTAGGAAAAAAAATGAGCAGGAAAAGATCTATTTTTTTTTAAAATTTTTTGACATTAGACAACAGTTTCTTGAAAGCTGTCGTCTAATATGCGCGTACAAATTTTCGAAATATGAAAGTCTCCATGCCGTATTTTTTAAACACATTAGACGATGATTTTTTTTTTTTTTTTTTTTTTATAAAAACGTTGTTAAATAGGGGCCGCTAATATACTATTTGTAGTAGTGTGTTTTAGACAAAGTTTGTGCTAATTGAGCCCACCATTATTAAGGGAAAAATGTTGCATACAAGGCGTGTTTTCCCCAAGTTGCTCTTTTAAATGTGGTGCTCAAATTAGGTAGCATCTTTCTTATTTTGCATTTGGTGATGAAATTGGGTAGTAGTTTTTTTATTTATGTACGTATTTCGGCAAGCATTTTTAGCTGTACATAGTGAATGATTGAGTCTACAATAATCAAAGATCATAATACTAAAAGAACTGGTGTAACTGTAAATGACTCTTCGGAATATATTCGATTGGTTTAGAAGTCTCCATTTTTTTTTTTTTTTTGCTTGTAACTACAATATATTTCTGAAACTTGAAATTTCTATATATATGCAAATAATTGGTAGCTATCCCTCACATATTTTGTATATTATATATGCAATATAAATTAGTTCTAGCTGGCTTGGTTGGTTGGTAATGTTGAATATTCTTTCATAGTGCGATTTATACAGAAGATAATAATTGCTACCATATTGGATCAAAAAATAATGACAATTATACAAGTGGAGTCAAGCCCAAGATATTATTTCATATCATTACACTTTTTTTTTTTTTTTTCCTTTTTTCCCGCTTGACTGATAATTAACTTAGTTCAAGTCCTTTGGATTGATTGTAAAGTCAATGCTATCCTCATTGTTGATTTCTCAAGCGGGCCATTCATTGTGTTTTTCGGATGATTTACATTAATTTTGTTAAATTTGATGAAGATCATAATTCATATATATTAGCGAATCAATAAATCCCATCTTCATATATATAAAGTGACAATTTTGATATAACTAAAATACCTAATGAAAATGAAATAACGATCAAATTCCTTCAAATCCACGTGTCATTTCAATTTTTATCCATGTGTAAAATAGATAATCAAAAGGACAAAATCTCGTTGGGGAAACAAATTTCTTCACGTACCGTAATACTTCATTGAATTTGTTTCGGTTCAGGAAAAAAAAAATATCGGATTTTATATATAACAGACCGTATTTTGGTCAATGGGAAACAACACTTACCAATACAAAGAGGAAACATTTCATGCCTCCCAGTCTGCTAGATTGATATTTCCCAGTTCTTTCCTCCGAATTTTTTTTTATTGACTACTGTTTTACTATTTTCCTCAACAGTCTTTACGCATGACGATACATTATTGATTTTTTATTATTATTTATAGGCTTCCAACTTTGACCGTGTATACTTTCCACTTGGTGAAAGATATCGAATTATATCTGTACATATTAATTAAATGACATATATAATATTGTTTTTTTTTTTTCCTGTGTCACTTGAGGCTAAGTCATATTCGGAATCAATGGGTTGATAAAGAGGCATAATTTCAGCCCCCAATAGTCATATTTGGAAACGATATGTTGTTAAGAGATATAATTAGAAGGCATAGTTTCAGTCTTAATACGGACAATAAAAATTGATTCTTAAATATTAGGTGGGAGAGTCTTAATAAATCGTGCTAATGCCACCATACGAATGATTATGACGTATATATAGTCTATATATATGTATATATATTAATACGGTAAATTACCTGTATATTATCTTGAAAGCGACCCAACCTTGATGTTGGAAAATTATAATAAGGCGGCACAAAAAATATTACGCAATAAATAAAGAATGACAGATAGAAACAAAGAAGGGTCGCTGATCATTATCAGTTACGTGACCAAGTTTATAGACCCAGTACAAAAATATACATCATAATTTATTGTAGAGGCTTCAAGTGCAATTAAATCTCAATATAAACGACGTTATAAGACGGGATTTGAATAAAATAATAACTTGACTGGGGAATATTAATATTATAATTTTGTCGCACTTAAAAAGTTCTTTGTTCACACTCTGACTCTCATCCCCAACCCAGCGGCTTTAAAAGGGCTAGTTTGGTTCTGATTTCTTTTCGAGGATGATCTAACTATAACCTCTCTCTCTCCTAGCTTCTTTTCCTAGCTCCGTTTCTCCTTTCCCTTGCTCAGTTTCTCTCACTACAACCTTAAGTAGAGAGAGAACATGGGAAGAGCTCCATGTTGTGCCAAGGTAGGGCTCCACAGAGGTCCATGGACACCTAAAGAAGATGCACTTCTCACTAAGTATATCCAAGAGCACGGTGAAGGCCATTGGAGATCCTTGCCTAAAAAAGCTGGTACGTACGTGCATATATATATATACACACACACACACATATATATAGTCAGTATATATATATATATATATATTGCTTTTCTTCTATATTTTTACAAATAATATCTTCTCAAATATGAATGTCTCAACAAAAAAAAAAAAAAAAAAAAGTTTGGCACATACTTTTGAATCTTCCAATATTGCTGCTGTCTGATATCCAATCCAAACTGCACCTCTTTGTTTTTCGAACCATTTTACTGCGGTGTTTTTTCTCTTATAAATATTTAAATTTCTGTATAACCGTTATAAATATTCTGAGTTATTGTTTTGTGTTTAGAACAGAGTTTGATTAAACAAAAGCAAGTGCTGACTTTTCTATTGGTGCTTTTGTGGTGACTATTGATTATAGGACTCTTGAGGTGTGGAAAGAGCTGCAGGCTAAGATGGATGAACTATCTGAGGCCAGATATCAAGAGAGGAAACATCACTCCTGATGAGGACGACCTTATCATAAGATTGCATTCTCTTCTGGGCAACCGGTGGTCTCTCATAGCGGGTCGGCTCCCGGGTCGAACCGATAACGAAATCAAGAACTACTGGAACACCCACCTTAGCAAAAAGCTCCGAGGCCAAGGAACCGACCCGAATACCCACAAGAAGCTCTCGGGTCTCCCACAAGTCGCCAATAATAATAAGAAGAAGAAGAAGGTGAATAACACGAATAGTGTTACTACTAATAAGAATAAGAACAAGAAGAATAACAGTAACAACAAGAAGGTCGAGACTGTGAACACGATCGCGATGATGTCGAAAAATAATGTGGACCCCATGAAGCAGAAAGTTCATCTCCCGAAACCCATTAGGGTTACGAGGAACTACAGCTTCGAAGGGAATTATACGACGACAAGTGGATCTTCAAGCCAAGAGAAAGGATCCTCAGCGGATACTACTTCCGTTGATTGTGATGATCAAGAAGTCGATGTTTCATGGCTGAGCTTCGAAGTCGGTGATGATGGCGACGTTGGGTTTCTAATTAATCATGATAATCATGATCATCACGTTAATGGGTCATCATCAGATCATCAATATCATCATCACCATCCATATTTGGAGCGCGAGTCTCAGATTATAGCAGAAGGCCAAGTTCATAACGCGACGCTACAGAAGCTCTACGAGGAATATCTGCAGCTTCTGAAGACGGAAGATCAACAACAACAACAACAACATCATCATCATCATCATATTAATCATGATCAAGTTGAGTTAGATTCCTTTGCGGAGTCATTATTGATCTGATTGATATATAACTGGAGACCAAAAAAAAATAAAAAATAAAAAAGAAAGAAACTGTAACAGGATCCGTTTTGTTCGTCGTGTATTAAGGGTTCAAGTGGATTAATTAAATTAGCTTTTCACGTGCTTACCTTCTACTCAAGAACTTGGAGTCACGTGTCTCCTTGTAACAAAATAACGTACAATATTGTGAATTATCATGGTGAGACATTTATGTAATTTGTATATATGTACTTTATTTTTTTTTTTCTAGTAAAAAAATTAGTGGTGTCCTTTCGCACCTAGCCCAATAGTTATTTAATAATATACTTGAGATAACAAGTGGAATAGAAAGGAACTTGACACATATTTTTATGAATAAGCATCCATTAAATTACAAGTCACGTAAATAGCATGTCGATAAGAGGCATAATTGTAATCTCACAACAGACAATAAAATCAAGCTTTGTCCACCACCTATGTAATTTCACTAATTTGTATATATGTCTAATTAATGTATGGTCATTGAGTTATATGGTAGCTAGCACCGCCCACTTTTCAAATGTAAGACCGAGTAAAATTCAATCTTGACATACTGGTATGTGCATCACATAAAAACGAAATTGCTCAGAACATTTTATGATCATGACCTAATTACTATTAAAATAATCAAACTTTCAACCGAAAATGATTTACGTCTGGTAATTAGCAAAAGATATATGTACATGATTGTCCCAAAAAAAAAAAAAAAATGGCAAATACTTTCTACGTCAAACACTCAAATTCGAATATCGCCACGTATATTCTATTTGACGCGGTAGTTTTTCCTTGACGTACGATATGTATAATAGAAGGCAAAAAGGAGTACACGAAAAGGAAAAAGGGGTTGTTTTTTGTGTGTAAAAGCAAAAAACCAAAAACAGAGTTTTGTGTGTAGTGTTGCTTTATTTATCATTATTATAAATATTTAACAAAGTACGTATAAGTAAGAAGCTTTTCCTGCCAAATTATGATTTAATAAGCCTTTGAATGAATCTCCCATTTACTTATTCAGCAATAAAAAAGAGGTAATATGAGGATTATCTACTGTTTTTCATTAAAAAAATGATAACCTTTTGGTAGATCTACTGTGTGCTTTGAGGAAAAAAAAAATCTCCTTAATGTATTTTTACTTAAATGCCCTTATTTTACTTTTCTTTTCATAATAGCACGGCAATTAAATTTTGGGAGGTATATTGGTAGAAAGTTCGGGCTAATTTCCAAACTCTAAAGATTTCTGCTTCCTGATCATCAACCCTTTTGAACGATGGCAAATGCTACCATAGGCATTATTTCCAATTTCAGTGTGTACTCTTTCACTTTTATTTTTAACATTACGTTTGTTTTGTAAAAAAATTTAAATTAAGATTTGAATCTATAAATTTATGCTATTAAGATTTAAGACTAATTATGGAAGAATTTGTCATTTACATCATTTACATAACTTCTTCACTAATTCACATATATTCACACGTGGTGGAATAAAGACTAATTCTGAATTCAGTAGATGGATGTTTCGTTTTATATAAGTTAATTTAGACACTTATCTAACTAAACGAAGAACTAAATATAAGAGTTATGCCAAAGAGAAAACTACCATAATAACTCAACTCAAATAATTGAGCAAAGGGCCAATCCTAATCCTGAATGATCAAATACTTGTCCTTCTAAAATCCATTTCTTCTACTTTAAAAAAAAAAAAAATCCCTTTCTTCTGGGAATGGTTAATACCCTAATTTAAATCATGTGGTGGCAAAAAAAACGAAAAAGTCCCTCCTCACTACACATGTCAGTTAATGAAGCATATTCGAACAAAAATATATAGAGAGATATATTTATAGTGCTCTACCTATATATATAGTCAGTAGAAATATCCTTCTTTCTACACAAATTAGAGGTACAATGTTGATCATTAATTATCAAGTGATCTCCACGTACCTAATTTGAAAGTTAATACAAGAGAAAGTTAATTAACGTATATATGCAGCACCATGTTTTTATCCTTGCTTTCTTAGGTATTATATATGGATGAGTTGTTAATGGTTACATTATAATAATGATTATTCATTAAATATAAAAAATTTAATTATGTGGTGTGATAAAAATTCAATCTTATTAATTACTATATATTTTTTTGACTATTTAATTTATTACAACCGTCCAATCAATATCACACGAATAAAATAATATCACACAAATAAAATAATAAATTGATGAATAAATATTAAAATAATTATTAAAACCACATCTATTAATTATATATATGTCACAGACATACACACAAATATATATAAATATATAAATATATAAATATATAAATATATAAATATATAAATATATAAATATATAAATTCAAAACTGTATCGTTCTTACATTATTGGCTCTTTTGTCCAGGGAACATTGATATTACCGCCTATTTTGAAAAATATATATTGATATATAGATCTGTGTGTACCAACTTCTATATACATATATTGGTATTAGTCCAACGGTGGAAAAACGCATGGTGAGCTAGTTAATTAATATAATAGTACTACATATATTGTTGGTTAATTAGGTAGGATATCCCAATGAGATAATTAGTAAATGAAAATATATACTCGTTTGTTTATAACTAGTACTTAGTCTACGAGTTTAGGCTGTTAACTACTAATTCAATTTCTCATGTGACTGTTTTAACAAGTCTATTATATATTTAATCAATCAAAAGGATCTTTTCACTTCTCACGTGTTCGTATCTTCTTTGTTTTCCTTGACAAAGACATGGAAAAAGACACGAATCTCGGCAGGTGTTGCCAATCTTATTAGGCCGGCCGGTGAGCCCGAGGAGGAAAAAAAAAAAAACGTCTCATATGAAAAATTACCGTCTGGACACATTAGCATATATAATATATGAAAGTAGTTTTTTACCTCGTTCACTTCACGAATTTGAGTTTTTAATTTAAGTTGAGATGTGAAATTTTCTGAGAGCTTTTAACTATAACAAAAAAAAAGTAACATTTTTTAAGTGTTTTTAACTATAAAAACGTAGAACTCAAAACTCGAATTAATAAAATGAACGAGGCTTTAAGTAAGGAAATAAACAACAATATTAGAGAACTTTTTGTCCATATATAAAATATTCTACAGAAGGAAAAATATGTACCATTAGATATGAACATTAATAACCCTAGTCCGTTAATAAAATTCCAATACGTCTATTTCAGCTATTTCCTTGTCCCTTAATTTTCCATCACATCCGTCCTCCCATAAACTAATGCAATTTTTGAACAAACCTTTGTCGACATATAATTAGTAAGTAAATATGTTCTCTTCTATGTACTCATCTTTGCATGTCTTTTAATGATAAGTTTATTAGAGATCATATATCCAAATATTACACCCCTAGTTTTTTTATATATGTGTATTATGCATCCTATAATTATAACTACTCCGTACGTGGCGAACAATAACTTGTAAGTTTACCTATATATGATTCGAACAAGTATTACTTTTATTTTCTTGTTTTTTTTTTTTGTTCCTTCTATATGTTGCATCAAATTAATTCTAAACAACTTAGATAAGAACATAAATGTGTAGACCGAAAAGAACATAAAATTTTTTATATCTATGATATCCCCCTAAGAAAAAGATCGTGGATCAGGAAAGAAAATGAAGTTGGCAATATCTAGATCAGGTGATCATAATAGGAGAATATTGGATCCGATGAGCTCGGGATTGTTTGGCGTAACCAACAATTAGATAATCTTGTAATCAACTTCATGTCCAAGTTGGTAACTCATGATATTCTTATTTGGAAATTTTACATGAGAAATACGTACATATATTCATACATATTATATATACGTCCTAGTATATTGTGGAGAAAGCGATGCCTTATTAATAAATATATAAATATATATGCATGATTCATCGAGAGTCCGAGTCCAGATTTTTCACGATTATATGGCCATTTTTATATAGGAGAAAATCAGCTAACGTGCATTTCCTAACTAACCTATATAATTGTGTCCTTATTTTGAAATTCTGCTTCTCTTAAATTAATATATTAAAAAAAAAGAAGTGTGGGGATACACATATTATATAGTTAAAAAATAACATAAATATTTATCCTCTCTAGTAATTAACTTCATTTGAGAGACGTACTTGTTCTCCGCTTTGAGAGAAACCCTAACTCAAACTTACAAAGTACTTCTTGCAAGCTTAGCCTATGGATAATTCCACATTCGATCCTAATACTGATTTTGAGTTTAAATCTCTCAACCCAAAACTAAAAGAAAAATGGTACAAAGCATGCACCTAATTGATTAACTAATTAGCTACTGTCAAGCAAAGCTGCAATTTATTATATGAACATCAAGTAATATCTATGTCATTACACACATATATATTATAGTCTTATCTACGGTCTTTTTAGTGAGACGGTCCCTTCAACATAACACGTTGAAGTAAAAATATAACATGCGGTACTGTTATGTTAATAAATCAATGTCATGTTACGTTTTCATTTCTACCTGTAATGTTGGAGGAACTGTCCCACTGATGGGATCATAGACAAGCTCATTATATTATATAGCTAGAAAATTAAAATGTTCTTCGTAAATATTTACTTAATAATAAGCACTGTGAACTCGATCTTCTGAAGTTCTCAAAATCCTACAAATCGAGTTGAATATTATATTTGATCAAATGGCATAATATTTTAGTTGCCTACATTTTAATATAATAATAATGCAACACGCCTATCAATTCTGCTATTTTTTATTTTATTGTTTTCAAAATTAATTAGCTAGCTACAGCCTATCAATTCTGCTATTTTTTATTTTATTTTATTATTATTTTTTTGGTAAGCTAGTTAGAAAAGTTGCAGTGTGGATCGACTTTGAGTCCATATATTCTTTTACTTAATTACCACTCTATTAATATTTTAGTTAGCTATATATGCACGCCAGTATAAAAAATTGTCGATTTAACGACGCTAATTATACCACAGTTTTATATAAAACCGTCATTAAATGTGTCATTATATAAAATTATCGTCTAATATTAGTATTTTTAACGACGGTTTCTCTTAAAATCGTCGTTGAATCTAGTTTTTAATCCAATAAAACTTCATTTCGTGAAAATTCACTCGAAAATCAAAAACGCCCGTCCACTGAATTATTCCGCCAATCTCTCCACCCAGATAGCACCACCACCCCAAATAGGCCCCTTCTTCCTTCTGTTTGCCGCCATTCTCCTTCTATTCGCCACCGTTTTCTTCAGAAATTCAGGAAGGACCAAAAATCTGCGAAGAACATCAAGTAAATTTAATTAA